GTTATGGCTAGAAGGAAGGGTAAGCTGGGCGCAGAGCTCCTCTGGGGGGCAGGCAAGAAGGGATTTGTCCTCCATGTCAGTTAAGTCAAAGACTACTTCACCAAGATGGAGAGATGGGGCTTTGTGAATGCGAATGACATACTGAATGTCATTGTACTTATACGAGAGAATTGCGTCTGAGAAGCGTTCGATGTCCGCGTGGGCCACTTCACCGGTAATTACTGTGCCTTTGGCATTCCGAAAGAGACTGTCTGGTTTAACCAGCTTTAGCGCTTCCCAGTTTGGGGCTATTTGTGAGTAGACATTTAAAGGGCAAGGCTTTTTTGTCTTCTCGTAGAAGGAGGCAGGTCAAAGAGGATTTTTGTATAGGTTGCTCGCTGTTCGTTGGTCTGCTAGATGTCATAGAACTAGATTCAGCTGAAAGGGTGGGGTTAGCATGTAGTCGAGGTTTCTTTGTTGTTACAGTACGGCCAAGGACAGGGGAGGGCGAAGGAAAGTCGTCGGTTCCCGAGAGGTCCGCCATTGTTGAGCTGTGGTCGTCGAAGCTTGTTGTGTGGCCGGATGAAGAGGCAGACATGGCTGTCTTCTTAGCACTTGGAAACACTGAGTTTTACTATAAACTAGTCACAGGAGTTGATCAATAATCAAAATTGATGTTCAAAACGCGGGACTAAGCACTTTAGAGAGATTTAGGTTCGAACTTTGAGCGATAGTAAGGTAGCACCTCTCACAATGAACGTTCAAACAAGACTCCCCTTCTTTTAAAATAGCACCTCTTCTGGTTCTCTAGCTTTGGCGATGTTGCCATTGTTCCGCAAGAGAATTTTGCACTTACCACGATTCTAATGAATTACAGAATCATATCATTTGTTACCACCAGAGCTTAAAACTATTACAAAATTATCAGAAAAAATATAGATATTGAGACTGGCCATGATTTGACTATATATGATATAGATTTGAGACTGGCTTACAATGATTATATATACTTTATTTAGTCTTTTTGACATAGGTCATCGGCCAGAGTTCACAAGTAACGTACATAATTAAGGCATTAAAATATATATATATAAATGCAGTTTTCCTTCTAATATCTCGTGAATCACTACACAAGTATAAGATCAGCTAAAATCAGCACCAGGTTATGAGATACAATAGGTTCTGAGAAGATGGCCAAAATCGATCAAGCAAAATCAGCGCATGTATAAGGAGATTATGAGATACAATAGGTTCTGCGGAAACTGTAAAATATAGGGTGAAGAGATACCTGCCAACAAGGGTCATAATTAGAACACAAATTTCATATGGAAGCTATTATTCCAACATAAAACGAAATATAAATTTAATATTTCAACATTTAATATCCGCAATCGTTGTTATTGAGGTTCACAAGCCACATTGATGATTCTCAAAGGATTTGAATAGAATAGAAGTGTCGGCACTGAAGAAATAGGCCCATGGCCTGTTGCCGATTCTTGAATTTTTCGTGATTTGATTCACAAGGGTTAGGCCTTTGGAACCCGATCTTTCCATAACTGACGATTGATTGAGATAGCTGCTGGACTTATTGCCTGGTCCGTAATTTGCTAGGCATTTTAAGACTGAACATATGCTCCTGCATAGCTTCGTCTACTCTGTTCTTGAAGATGTTCATACTCGGAGCGTCAACGATGCTATCAGGGAGGCTGTTCCACATGTCGGTGCCTCTAAGCGAGAAGAAATGTTGTCGCATGGATGTGTTACAACGCAGTTTTTTTATTTTATAGCTGTGGCCTTTACAATTTCTACAATTGTATATAATACAATACAATTTGGGATACAATTTCTACTGACCATTTATCTCATAAAGCAGTACAATTGTTTCCTGATTACTTCGCTCTCGCCAGGGAATACCATATGATTTACTGACTGAATATTTTATAATTATTTAATTATGAACTTGACATCCGAAATAAGTGATCGAATGCAAGCTAATTAAGTTATATAAAGTGACAGAGATTTATGTTCAACCAGTTTGAGGTTTAATAAAATCAATTACGACATACTCAGTAATGACAGTGCGAGATATAAATTTGAGTTCGTTTGCTTTTAATGTACAACAAAATAAATGAATATACTACTACAATACATGCTTACACAATTGGTAAACTTAACACTCACCCAGTGGTTATGCTAATTCACTAAAACACAAAAGTAGCACCTGACAACCGTTTCGGAACGCGTTTCCATTCAAATATACCTTCTTCTCTTTCCCAAGCCATGGCGATGTTGTCAAACAGTTCGGAGTGAAATTATTTGTTGATCTCGAATTATGTGAATTGCAGAATAATAATGTATTGTTATTACCAGAGCATGAAACTATTACAAAATTGTCAGAGATTATAGATATTAGGACTGGCCATGATTAACTGGCTCATAATGCTGATTAAATTTACTTTTATTTTATTCCATTTAACGTAGGCCATCTGCCAAGGTTCACAAGTGACGCACATAATTAAGGCATAAAAATAAAGTTTTTCTTCTAGTAATACTCTTGAATCACCTTCACCAAGAAACCAAACTCCTACCCTTAACACAACACCTTAAAGTTCACGCTTCACAACTCAGACAGAAAGCACAAAATCCAAGTCACCCACTATATACCTACCTTACAGACGCTCCCTTACAGGCGGTGTGCACACCGCCTCATGAAACAAACCATTTTCTACAAATCAGGCTTCACCACCAATATAGATATTCCACCAGCACAAGCCACAAAGACACAATCAATCGAAATCTAAAAACAATTCACATTACAATCACAGAAAACGACCTCGCAACCCTTCCTCACGATTAAATTCTAAACCGCCCCGCTCCACAGATCCACCCATCTGAAATTAACTTACCCAGACCTGCACGCAGACATCTTGCACAACTTCGTACAAACAATTCACAACTTCTCTCATATGTAAACAAAATAGACCCCGCCATGCACACACCCTTCTCCACATTGCCCACTCTGCCAATTCAACACGCACGACACCATTCATCTTTTCTCCTGCCCTGAAATATCCACGTCCCTGTCGGTGGGTGATCTTTGGGCTGACCCCATGGACGCCGCGGGGCTGTTGGCTCGCTGGATCGTGACCAACTTGGCTGGATTCAGAACTGGGTCTAGGCTCCGCCTCGCGCCGTGAAGCGAGGCGGGGAGGGTCAACCATATGAGCAAGGAGGACAACATCACACAGCCTTGTCTCACTCCATTCCTGACCTCAAACCGTATATCGCTGTTTCTAACGCAGCATGAAAAGTTCGCATAGAAGCTCTTGATTAACATCAAAATTTTCACTGGTATTCCGTGCGTTCTCGAGATGCGGCAAAGGCTCTCGCTGTGGATACTATCGAAAGCCTTCTGGAAGTCCACGAAGTTAATATATAGCTGTGTCTGCCTCTCAGTACATTGTTCGATTATGTTGCACAATGCAGTCAGTGGCGATGATTGGATGGTCTCATTAAAAAAAATATGAATCTGATGAATGGAATAGCAAAAACAAATAAATTAATAAATCACTAATATTTGATTGAATTGATTTACAAATGCATACACATGAGGAGCGACCCCAAAAAATAAGACTGCCTGTGTGGTGAGCGAAGTTTCGGTAGGACCGCATTCTCCCAGAATGTGCATTCGCTACTGACATTCCTCAGTTAGTGTGCCACGCAGCGCTGCCCTAGAAGGTTAAGTTCTAGTATTGCAAATGTTTTTGCGACACTTGTTTTGCGTGCTCGTCGTTTTTTTACGAAGGCTGATTTTCGTGAGCAACGTGCTGCCATCTAAATTTGTTTTTTTCTGTTGGGAAGAAAAATTGGGAAGGAAATGCTTCAAGGATGATGCTATGGAAGGAACGCAGAGTGGTTTTCCTGCTTGAAATAAGGGGAAATGTCAATTGATGACAACCTCGCTCAGGTCGACCTTTCGCTTACCGCAGTGAAAAAGATGTTAAAAAATTATGGACCCAATCCCTGGAGATTCACGTAAAAGTATTGATGCGGAACGGTCGCAAGTGACTTGGAGTTCACTTTAACAAATTCTGCCAGAAGATTTTGGATGAATAAATAAATCTTTAAAAAATCAGACCGGTTTCATTTGGGTCCCCCCTGGTAATTTTAAATACACAAACCGTAAATATTGGTGATAAATGCGAACCCACACACGTTTCAAATCCGCCAGTGGCCGGATTAGTTAGCACACATACCTAAGAAACTCTAGAAATGAAAAACAAGTAAAATGATTATTCTTACATCGTCTTTTCATTTCATGTAGTACTTCAGTTCCACTTTAGTGACCAAGTTTTGTAAAATTATTCTTCTTTCTGCGTTTTCCACCAGCAACACCACTAATTTCATCATCAATTTAAGTTCAATACCGATAAATTCACTGCGGTAGCAATACCACTCAGCCACTAAAACCCCGGGACTCGGAAAAAAACTTTAGAAACTTTTATTCTGAGTTAGTCAATTGTCTCTAATTCGTACAACGTGTTTATGCATGGTAATCCAGATGTAAATGTCTATCATTAATTCAGCTCAGTTTTGAATTTATTATTGATTCATGGAATACTACGTAGATGAAATGTTTCACTTGCAGCCAGCTGGGACTCAGCAGGCGAAATGGAGGTGTCGTCTGCCGCCTGGAACCGCTCCGTCTGCGCCGTTCATCACCTGTATCAGCACGCACCGAGCGTCGTCGTCTTGGAGGTCCTCACTATCATACTGCTTATTGTCCATGTGCTCATCGAGTACAAACTTATACGCAGAGTGAGTATATATTTGTGCAGGTATCATTTGAATTTATTATTTTGAACAGTATTCCAGCTATATTGAATCTGGAAACTCTGCTGAATTCACTTGTGAATGACCCCATGGACAAAAAGTACGTGTTCCGGATGGAACACGTACTACTCCACATAAAAGACTTGACCTCTGCGTAGCCATAGTCTATAGACCGCCTGCTTGCCCATCGGATAGTTTTAACAAAACCCTGAAGGAAATAGAAATCAGGGTGGCTGTACTGGGTGAACCAGCCCCCAGCCTAATAATGGGGGAGACTTTAATCTCCCATGTATCCGTTGGATAAGTCTGGGCGACGTGGAGGTTGGTGACTGCAACTGAAGTCAAGAAGCCAAACTAGTGAAGTTCGCTGCGGAACATTTGCTCAGTCACACTTGCCGACAAGGGAACGAAATATCGTCGATCTCTTCTTTACTGATCATATGGTGGTTGACGCTCGGGTTGAAGATACCTCAATGTCAGACCACCGCCTGGTGATGGTGGATACGACTATTGGAACTTACCCAGCCCAAGGCTATACTTACTTAATTAACACCATAGGTGAGCGGATTGGGATGCAATATGGAATGAACTTGACGAAACTGACTGGAGAGAAGTGTTTCACGATGTGAATGTAGAGGAAATTTACACAAAACTTTATGAGAAACTAGCACAGGTATGTGTGCGTCATACCCCGAGAAAAACGGGCCCCAAAGTCCGCAGCATTCCGGGAAACCGACGAATCCTCATAAGAAAACGCACACGTTTGAATAAACAAATAGCTGAATCCACTAGTGATCTGAGGAGACAGAGACTAGTAGATTTGCACAACGAAATGGAACTCATGTTGCAGGACTCGCATAGGATGGAAGAACAAGCTGCCGAGGAACGAGTAGTGGAGGTAATCAGAGAGAACCCGAAGTACTTTTTCAAATACGCCCAGTCCAAGGCTAAAATAAAGACGCCAGTGGGCCCGCTGAAGGATAACGATGTCCTTGTCGGAGATGACCAGCCTCAGACCTGGGCATGTGTGAGTTACTGGGATCGCAGTTTGAATCAGTTTTCAGTAACCCCCGCTACTCAAGGGAGGAGAAAGAAATCGAAGTTATCCAGGAACTGCTAGGAGAATGGGGGCTGGAGAACATTGAGTTTAGGCCAGAAGATATGGAAATAAGTATCAAAGAATTGGCGATGTTCTCAGCACCAGGACCGGATGGAATTCCGGCAGTGATGTTGAAGAAGTGTGTTGGAACTCTGAAGGCCCCGCTCACAATGCTCTGGAAAGCCTCGATGATGGAGGGAATTATTCCCGAGGGCCTAAAAGTAGGACTGATAACGCCAATCCACAAAGGAGGCTAGAGAGACGACCTCAAAATTGCAGACCGGTGACCTTGACCTCACATGTGATCAAGGTTTTTGAGAAGGTAGTGGAGGCTTGTCCAGTACATAGAAGAGGCTGACCTGTTTAATAACGGACAACATGGTTTCCGACGAAATCGTTCCTGTGTGTCACAGTTACTCGATCACCATCACCACCTTATCGCCCCTACTGGAGGAGGGTGCTAGCGTGGATGTAGTATACCTGGACTTTGCTAAAGCCTTTGACAAAGTTGACCATGGGGTGCTCTTCAGAAAGCTGAGACTGTTGGGGAATACAAGCTGTCGCAATTGGAAACTCAAAATCGAGAGAAACGAATGTGAAAAGCGGTGTGCCACAGGGCTCTGTGCTTGGACCGATCCTCTTCCTCATTCACATCGCCGATATCGACTCATAACTTTGGTGGTTATGCAATAAGAGGTTATGATGCGATAGCGTATAATGAGCGACGTTGGAGTAATTACGCGGATGAACAGTAGAGTTAACTGGCGATTGAATTGGTTTGTGGCTAACTCCCTATATAGGATTGTATGATAATAGCATTAATAGGGGTGTACGAGTTCAAGGTTTCATATGGTTTATTATCTTAGTGAATATAAGATGAAGGCCCAGTGAACAATTCAAATTTTACACCACAAGCAGCACAAGTTAGTATGGTGGACGACGCGGCAAAAGTGAGCGTGGGGTAGAATGTTGCCATGACGCTTGGTTCTGTTTAGTTTTGTTCTAGAGTTAACTGTGATTACACGAAATAACTGCTATTACGAAATCTTAAAACTATTACAATAATATGGGATCTATAGATATCAAAACTGGCCATGATTAACTGGCTTACAATGATGATTATTTTTATTTAGACTATTTGATATGGCTAACGCCAAAGACTACGAGAACCGTACATATTTACGGTATCAAATATGCGACAAAATACAGCTTTACACCTGAAAATCTCAAGGGGATTATAATAATCTCTCAGCCACTACAGAATTTACCAACGCATCTACATCGTCATTTGCGGACGATACAAGAGTGCTGATGAAGATCACAGAGGACATACATAGCCTGCGAGAGGTTACAAGACGACTTGTCGACAATCTATGATTGGGCCCTAGTGAATAACATGCAATTCAACGGCACCAAGTTTGAAGTAATGAGAAACAGAGTTGGCACAGAGATCGGGATGCCACATCGCTACTTGGCATCAGATGGCACAGAAATTAAAGAGAAGCAACTAGTTCGAGATCTGTGGTTTTCAAACCATGGGTTTGGCTTTAAAACCCCGAAAAGTTAGTGTTGAAAAGTTCGAGTGTTGATATGTACTGAAGCCACGTTCGATGAATACATCGAGGAAATAGTTGCGCGAGAGAGACCATGGATGGGGTGGATCTGGCGGACATTTCGAACAAGAGACGCAGCGCTAATGATTACACTCTTCAGAGCCCTAGTGCTCCCCAATCTTGAATACTGCTGCCTGCAGCTTTGGGCGCTGCTCAAGGCGGGTGCTGTGCGGAAACTGGAGGAAGTGCAGCGGACCTTCACGTTCAGGATCAGCGGCATAAGGGAGCTGGACCTGAACTACTGGGACAGGCTGAAACACCTGGGACTGTACTCACTGGAGAGGAGGAGAGAGAGGTATATCATAGTGTACACTTGGAAGATGATAACCGGACTGGCTCCCAACTTTGAATGCGAGACTTCAAGAATAGTGACATATTATAACGAAATAAGCGGCAGCCTGTGCAGGATTCCCCCATGTAATAACCGAGCCGCGGCCAGAGTACAGACTCTTCGTGAGGGATCACTGTCCGTGGTAGGACCGAGGCTCTTTAATACCTTACCAAAAGCGCTGAGAGGAGGGGAGTTCACCCTTGCAACATTCAAGAGACNTGCTACATCCGGGACCCGAGGGCGGGGTGACTTGCCTAGCGACGACTCGGAGACGAAAGACGACGAAGGCGGAACATCAGCTTGACCGTGGACTACGAAGTCCTAAACTAATCATAAGGTCATAAGGAGCGCCCGGTATAGGCTCGAAGCAAACTAGTTTGAGTGGATCAGACGGTTTCCATCATAGATTTTCCAAAGAAGTAACCGTCCTAGTCGGCTTTCTGACAATATGCTCTCAAAAAACCTTCAACGAAGGGACTTTACCGGCCGATCGGAAAAAAGCTCAGCGTACTCTGTTAAAAAAGGGTGACAAGGGTAGCCCCGGTAACTATCGTCCTGGCAGTCCGTATCAGACTGGACAACAGTGCGCAGTTACGTGCCAAAAGGAAGCGTTCTTAAGCCTGTTTTATTAGTTGTTTTAACAGGGTAAAAACTTGTCGTTTTTTAACTCCCTGTTGTTTTTACAGGGTTAATAACTTTTTTATTTTAACAGTTATATGCATACAATTTTAGTGTCACAAAGTCAAGGCGATGGAAATTGATTTTCTATCACAAATTTAATTTTAGGAATCTTTAGAAACTTTATCGCTAAGTGTGATGAATAACATTCTTCATATGCCTTCCATTTTCTGCTGCACAAATTGTAGCTCTTTCGATTACCTCTGCCATAACCGTTTCCATAGTTTCTGGGCTTATTTCTCATATTTCTCTAGTGATGTTTTCCATTAGCTCCATTAAAGATTGCGGGGGAAATCTTGTGGGTGCTTGTGGTTATTGTCTCTCACATTTAAATGCCTGCGATTGGCTTTTTGGGTTTGAATTATTAAGCCTTGATTTGATTGTAAAATTTTACAATTTGTGCACGGATGGCAGTACTGATTTTCTCTATAATTAATTTCCAGGATCTGAAAAAAGTAAAAAAATATTCAGTAAATAAAAAATATTAAGAAATAAAAAAGATAATAAAAAATAAAAAGGGTCAGTGACTTTTGGCCTACCCTGTATAAACGATGCCAAGAGAAATGTCATAAGTGTGCTCCATGTATGCCGACGACACAAAGTTTACGATACCGTTGAGGGTGTGTCAAACATAGTGCAAAAGCCAAAAGATCCTGATAGTTTAGTTGGCTGGGCTGTTGCGTGTCAACTGCGTTTTAATGCTGACAAGTAAAAAGTATTTAACCGATGCAGGAAATGAAGAGCAAGCGTACAACATGAGAAGACATATGGTTGCAACCGAAGAGTTATGATTGAAAAGTCGGCAGTGGAAAAAGATCTGGGAGTTTATGTCGTCATGGAACTGAAAATTTCTATACATATTGAAACGGAAGAAAACAAATCCAATTAATTGCTTGTGATGTTAGATGCTCTTACAAGTACCCAGATGCAGAAGCGATGAAGCTGTTGTTTGTCGCTGTCGTGCGCCCTAACCTATATAGAGTTTGGAAACGCCGTGTGCTCATCGAAACTTGAAAGACAAAAATTTAGTCGAGAGTATTCAAAGACGTACAAGGATAATTCCAGGCTTAAAGGGCAAAAATAATTATGACGTAAGATAAGAAATGAAGCTTCAAAGTCTATTATCAAAGTATAGAAGTATACTCATTGAAGTATACTCATGGTTTAAACATGGTAACAGAAGGATTATTAGAACTTGAAATAAGAACCAATACCAGAGGCCACGGCTATAAGATAAGAAAACTGCGGTGCAACTCATCCATGCGACAACACTTTTTCTCGCTTCGAGTCACCGACATGTGGAACAGCCTCCCTGATGATATCGTTGACGCTCCGAGTAGAACACGTTCAAGAATAAACTAGACAAGGCTTACATGCAGGAGCATATATTCAGACTTCAGTTGCCTAGTACCCTACGGAACAAATGAAACTCCAGTAATAATTCCAAACCACCGTCAGTTTAAGAGTTCTGGTAAAAAAAAAAGTTTTTGATCTGTAAACCGTCACGAAAAATACAAGAATAGGCGACAGGCCATCAAGGCTTAGGGTACGTACACAGTGAAAGCAGGTGGCCAGCGTGCTGGTTACCTGCCGAGGCTGGCGCCTGAAACAAGCGCGAGAGGTTCACAGAGGAAGCAGGAAACCAGCTGAAACTGAAAGGGTTTATGGTACTGCCGTTCTTCAGGCAAAAATGCTAACCTTTAAGGGGAGCGTCTATATGGTGAAAAAAACTTTTTTATTTACGGACGGATCACTTTGAAACTTGGTACTCCTATGTAAAACAGAATTCTAAGACTTTTTTGTTTGTGTCAATTTTTCGAAATGGAGGGTTTAAAGGTACAACTACTTCAAAAATGACCATATGCCAAGCAGGTTGAGCAGATAAGAATGTGCAGTACATTCCGGTAAATAGGTATAAGCAGGTTGTCGACAGAAGCCTATTCGTACAGGTTTTCACTGTGAACACTTACATTATTATCCTATGTTAATTCTTGGGGCAGGTTGGAGCAGGCTGCCCGCGCGGGCAAACCTGCTTTCACTGTGTACGTACCCTTACTAGTCAACGCCGAAGATGCTATACTATTATTTTCAATGGAATTTTAAATTTTGTATGGGAATTATTGTAAAATATCTCATTTGTATTTAAAAAGATTATAACTTTTGTAATATGTGAGCATTTCTTACAATTTTACAAAGTTTGAATTCGTGTTTGAAATATTTCATGATATTAAGCAAGCAAGCAAGATTACATAGCAAGATAGCAAGATTACAGTATGAGAATACACCGTTACAACGACAGAGTGAAGATATCGAAGTAAACAATGTAAAAAGATTTAGGAGTTAATATCGACAACGAGTTGAAATTTTCTAAGCATATTGAAGGTCAAGTTAATAAAGCCAATAAACGACTTGGTCTGACCAGACGCTCTTTCGAGTTCCTAGATGCAGAAGCGATGAAGCAGTTGTTTGTTGCTGTCGTGCGCCCGAACCTAGAGTTTGGAAACGTCGTGTGGTCACCGACACTTGAAAAGGACAAAAATTTAATAGAGAGTGTTTAGTACAGCGTTTCGACAGTATTATATTCACTATCAAGTAAATGGAGAGTTCTGCAACACCTAAAATAGAAACTTTAAGATGAAATAAGTACAAACAAAGAGGCTTGTGGATGCAATTCCAAGACCAAAATTTAAAATTACTCGGAAAATAATTTCACGTCCTGACGTAGCTAATGGTTTGAAAGTTGATAGCTGAAGACTCGCTCTTGATAATGAGAGCCTCAGCTATCGCCAGTCTTGCAGCGTCGGGGCACCGCATGACGATGTACGTAGGTGCCAGCTTCCATCAGTGATGGTCTCGTTGTGAGGCGATAAAACCGCGATGAGCGATTCCCACGAGATCATCGCCTGCCCGGTCATGCGGTGCCCCGGTCAAGATATGCCCAAATTCAACCATTAACTTCTTAGCAAAACTGCATTTGTGATCTTTATAAATCTATGTTCCGATAATAATTCCATAATTTATTTACATTTAAGATCTTAAATTAGGATGGTTCATCTTAGTATTTTTCTTAACAATGTTTTATAATTACATGTTTCAACAGGTCTCTAGTGTGTCACTTACGAAGTGTTTTCCCTCGCCCTTTTCTTTGCGTCACTCTGGCACCACAAATACATTTACTGAGTACGTTTACCGAGTCTGGCGCCTGCTGCGTCTTGTGTCGCTGGGGCTCCTCGTGCTGGCGCTGAGCGAATGTGACTTTGTCCTGGGCTGCCGACAGGTTTGTAACATTGTTCATTATGCTTTAAGATTATCAGGTGAACATATGATGGTGATGTCTGGTACGAAAGAGCTTCGAGGTCACGTTACATACTGAATAAGTTTTTTTGGTGATGAGCAAAAAAATGTGACACGAGAGAGGATAAGAAAGGATAAAAGCAAATCTGATCTAAATTCAAAGGCTTTAAGAAAAATGTCTGTCGCTAAGCATCGACGAAACACCTGCAGCGAAGGAAGCTGGACAGGCGTGTGGACGAGTTTGAACATAGAGTAAAAGGGTAATACAAAGTTTTCGTACTTATTTTTTTAATATATCGCAGTGCTTATTCTGTCAGTGATGGCTACATAAAATTTCTGAGATTTGCAGTATAAAATCAACGCTGGGAGATAATTGCTCAATAGTCACGTTGTAGCCGCGCCTCATGCGTCTCTAATTTTCGTACCGCGATTTTCCTTGTCATTTTTTGCGATCATTCAATAGTTTTTAGCGCATTTCCTCATTTTTTGAAAAAAGGCGCTCTTGTGCTCGTCATGTCCGTCCGTCCATCCGTCTGTCTGTCCGTAACTTCACGTTTTCGTCAATTTTGAGAAAATGCGCTCTCTGACACTCACTGCAGTGAGTACTGAGTTGTATTTTTTCTCATATTTTGTTCTGTTGAATTCATAATCATGTTTTCATAAGTGTTTTATCTTTTTGGTTTTACTAGCATTTTCATCTAGAGAAACATCCTGCTGTTCGCGATAATTCGATACGCGTCACTTTAATTCTACCAGTCGTGAAGCGCGTTGCACTTCACTGATGTTGAATCTTTCGTGTGTGTGATATTTGGGATTAGTTTATTTTGTTATATTGTGACATCTAAATTTGTGTTGAGTGAGATATTTATGTATAGTAATTTTGTTAATAATAACTAGGATCAAGTATTATTGCTACATCCTAAGTTTGTTATTCTTTGTTTACAGAACCTAACTCATTTATATCGATCAGTTAGCTGCAGTGCGTGCCATCCGCTGAGTTTATTTTGGGTTCACTTTGGGCTCATTTTGAGTTTAATGTCACTGTTCTCATTACCACGTTTTACTGTGCCTTCGTTACAAATAAAATGCCAAAAATCCAAGTTCACTTTCCCTGCGCGGTTAAAGTTTTGCTTGTCTGGTCGGCGCTGAAGTAAAACGGCAGGCATAGCAGTCGCGCTTACAACGTAAGAGAATTAACCAATTCTTTATCGCGCGGAATCTAATTTTGTTCTTCCACTAAAATGTAGGTATACGAATCAATTCTCCAAGGCTCTCCTACATGAGCTATATTGACCAGGTGGTAAAAGTCAATTTCATGTTCATAATCAGGATCAGGTATTAACCATATACATCTAAAAAAATTGAGTTCAAGTGCACCAGCTGTTGTATCTGCATACAAGAAGTTGAATGCTTTGGAGGGGAGTTCATGTTTCTTCATTGCACGGGTATCCCAGTTATACATGAGAGAGGTATTCAGTTTTACAGTTAATTTTTACAGCTCACATAAAAACAAAACACTTTTAAGCGAGACTCAGTATACTTGACGACTTGACTTAAATTAAAATTATACCTACTTTTCAGTTCATCGTGTGGCAGCTGGAAGTACTGGCAGTGCTGCTTGTGTGGCTTCACTTTGTGGCAACTCTGAACAAGATTTTATGGTCCTCGGGACTTATTCCAATTGATACCATGCTATTATTTCCCTTCGCGCTGCTTCTTCTGCCGCTTTTTCTCTATTTGCTTGCATTTGCCGTGTCTTTTCATTTTATCTTTTTGGAGAACAAGACTTTTGGTTCCATGCCTTACTCTTTTGTGAAGACCATCACGATGATGCTCGGAGATTTTGGTTACGACGATACTTTTGCTTACGATAACACCAATGGATCGTACCCACTCCTGTCGAACGTGTTGTTAGTAGTCTTCATCCTCTGCATCATAGGAATGGTACTGAATTGTGTCTCTGGAGGCTTTACAGAGAAGTTCACTGAACTAAGGAAAAAGGAGCAAGTAAACCGAGCGATATCGCTTCTTCGCACCCACTTGCTCATCGATGAATTCGTGCCGGAATGGCGCAGAAAATATGCTTGTTCACTTAAAATTCGCGAGATGAACTGGCGATCGTCTTCTGTTAGTTCCGAAATGCTCCAAGAGCAGAAAAGGGAAACTTCAGCACAGGGTCTCGAGTTGACGAAGATAGTTGATCAACTGACGAAATTAGCGGAAGACATGAAAGATATGAAGCAAAGTAACTAACTTTTCTCTGTAATTGATATCCGAATAGCAACATTAGCAAACGTCTGAAAAGGAACTCCAACTGACGAAGTTGGGAAAAAGATGAAAGACTTGAAATAGGCATCCAAATTCTTCTTATCAGCTCATCAGCAAAACGCATTGTGACAGGTGACCTGTTTCGCTGAAAAAGTACCAAAAAATTAGAAGCAATTTATACTCTTATTTTTACATATTTTAAAAGGTGGTTGTCTTCAGATTGGCAATATGTATCGACGTTGGTTAGGCGTGAATGCAAGGCCAGTTGATCATGATTCGAGCGTTTTTAAGGTCATAGATAGCAGCCCCTAGTTTTAACGGCTAATAAACGTGTACAAGTGGCCAGAATGTTAAGCCAATTGAGAAATTTAGCTGTAGCTTAGGAGCTAAACTACAGCTCCTAAAATCTTCTGCCATAACTTTGTTTCATGTAGAAGATTGTAATAAATAAATATTTTGAAATCGATTCAAGTATACAATTCCTATACAGTTAATCGAAATCATGATAAAAATAAATAATTAATATGGTAGTGATTTTCGGTCTATATAATGTCATTTTAGAATTTAGAAGCTAATACACATTATATTTATAACTTAATATGATTAATGCCATACAAAAAATGGCGAGGCGAATACAAGATTCATGGGTTTTTTGTCGAGTCCAAAACTCATGCAGGAGGCGCTCAATCGATATTGATAATTATCGAGCAGGCAAAGACTACTTCTTTCAATAAATAATTTCAAATGATTATAAAGTGAGTAAACGATGTTGTCTCAAATTGCAGAAAATATGTAAATGTTCAAGGGTCTTGATTTGTAATAAACGTCATCGATTTAAAAATAATCAATGAAAAATAAAAACAAACCAAACAACACAAAGTTGGTCCAACTTGAGCGCCCTTTTGATTGATTTTAACAGCCCGTGGGAAATATTTCTATGTCTTTTCTTTTATTTCTATGTTGATTCTGTGTTCAAGTTTATGGAACCTACTGCAAGGACTTTGTAAGGGTATTACGTACGTTGTATAGACTACAATTATAAAGAGTATTTATTGATCGAAAACTGTAAAATTGAAAATTATTAGGAGTTTTTTCATACTTAATTATTTCGGTTATTTATTCATGGTAAATTGTTTGATTCATAATTATTACGTTCATATTTTGAAGAATGTAAACTTAGCAGTTATTATGGTGTTCTTTTTTTATTTATTTTATGGCGTTGGGCCTCGGGACATTAATAGTTGTGAAAAAGCAGAGAGCATCGAGCGAGACGACAGCACCGGAAGAGAGACGAAGGAGGGAACTGACATTCACGTGGATTCCCACCAATTCCCGTGTCACGTTCTCCTGAATCTCTCTGCGTGAACTTTAAAGGCTTGAGCAACGATTATAACGATATGCTGGTGAAACGATAAACCTTGAGAACTTGCCGTGCCACGAAAGCTGAATGAAGACTCCTGTAAAGACCTCAATTGAGATTACACTTTTGGTATATTATATTAGTTGTAAGAGGGATTGTTGGACATATACTTGGCCATGCTGCTGCTTCCGTTGAGCTCCTATCACCCGCAACGGTTCCGGTTCATCATTAAGAGTGGGATATCTACTTATAAATTTGTTAGTGAAAGAAAACCGCATTTGTGCCTATGTGTCATTATATTATTTAGTGATTAACGTCTGAACCACCCAGGCAACGTCAAAGTGACCGCTGTTCGTTAAATGCAAATGCTGCATTATAAAAATTCAAAGTATATAATACAATTACTGTATATTACTGTACATGATTAGTAAATGTGATTATTGAAAGTAATTATACTCTCTTGCAATAAATGTTTATTCCTGCTGTTTCACAACACCCTTTTGGTATCAACGTATTTTATTCATTTATTGAAGAAAAGTGGTTACCCCGATGGCTCAAGGAAAAGCTCCACATTGAATTAAAAATATTATATATACGATCATATATATATACATGCATATTCATATATATACATACACACACACATGACAACGACTTGATAACTGGCGCATTCAGCCATGCCTTCAGCCGTGCTGGATATTCAGATTTTCCCGCCAACGCAATGTAAAGTACTACAATATCTATTGTGGCCAGTACATGCTAGTGGTCCCCCACTACAACTGTGGACGAGTGTCTAAGCTGCTGCGGCCAAAGGCCAACAAATGTTTCCATGTAAAAAAAATACAAATAATTCATTATAAAATGCATTACGTTTATATTTCGGTAAAACCTCATCCCTGCGTACTAGCCAGCTCGAAGACGAGAGACTCGTCCTTAAAAATAACATTTTGAATTCTCTTAATTCCCCAGGCATTAGAGATTTAACTTTAGAAAACTTAGGCACTAAGTAAGCCCGGTAAATATCGCCTGTAGGCATGACGGCATGGCTTCCAGTTGATTGCCAATGAGCTAAAATTTCTTTTATATTGTCCTTCGTGATTTTGCATAAATAACATTTTTATCTAGTTTGCATATGACCTTTTCTCTCGGTTTGACTGAAATATTTGATACGGGTGGCACCTTTGTAGTGTGCCAAACTGCACACTGCAGCTAGATCAGCTGAGACTGCAGCTAGATCAGCTGAGACTGCAGTTAGATCAGCTGAGACTGTAGCTAGATCAGCTGAGACTGTAGCTAGATCAGCTGAGACTGCAGTTATAGATCAGCTGAGATACCATGCACAAGATCGGACCGCGTGGAGGATGCTAGCCATACAGAATCACCTTAGTCGGATACGTCTGATTGGATGTCATCATCATTAAACGCTTCATATTCTATTTGTACTATTTGTACTTGATGCTGAATATTATAGAATATAGCATATACTCTTTCCTCACTAGTTCCATAATATTAAAGACATAATAACAGTTTGGAGACAATTTGAATTAGGATTACAAGTCACGTTTAGTTAAACTCTTGTCTCTTCTCATGAAGAGGAAACCGGGGTGGCTCTACCTTAATTCCCCCAAACCCCAGAGATGATAACTCCATTAAAGCTTGATCAGCGTCTCGCAGGCGAGCGCGCGTCTCAGCATCCCGGTGAATTCAAAGTAATAACCAAGCTAAAGGTCTGATAGTAATTAAGCATCTACAGGATACGTTGTGGTCAGGTAGTAAACATCTTAAAGTAAAAGATAGGTTCAGCAAGGAGTAACCAGTGGTAGCTGAAGAAAAATGATTAAAAATTTCATATATTTCAATGTATAGTTTTAATTTGGGGGATATTATATGGCTAGAGTATGAACACATTAAAAAAAACGAACTACACTTTTATTTTA